CACCTCACACGGTAATATCTTTCAAAGCACACATCTACTAAATTTATCTTCGTATTTGAAACTTAAACAAAACGATGGTTTCCCATAAATAAAGAGTACGCAGTGGTTGGAAAAGTTCTTAAGCCAATAACGCCACTCCCATCCATTCTCAAAAAATGAACGGTGGACATTAGCGAGTTATAAGTAGAAACGTAATTAATACCAAATTATTTTAGAAATTAAGTTTTTAGAAACTTAACGAGGCCTGCTGCTAACAATGTTGGTTCACTGTGTTGTGTGGGTCAATTTTTCTCGTTAGAATCCTTACATAGGTATAAGTTTACCATTCGTTCATTCTTTGAATATTGCTGGTTTGATGATATATTTAGAAATTCTGAATTAAATCCAAATAAGAATCTGCAATGCTGTTGGTGCTGACTTGACATCTCGGCTTCAGTCACACTCCCATGTAATTGTTCTGCTGTAAATTAATACTCTGGTAGCCAAGTGAGGGAAGAGTAGTAAGAGGAAGAAGACTCACATCCGTGGACATACTACTAGAAAACACCGAGATGGAAACGACACAAGACCTAAAACACTCAAAATTGTTATTTGATAAACGGCCGATTGTCAAGAAATGTGGAAACAAAATTTATTTTTTGAAATACCAGAACTCTTTGTTTAGGGTCGATGCCATGTTTCCTGGGTCGAGGAAAATAATTAATTGAGGAATACATAATGAGCTTTGAGGGGTAGTGAGAGTTGGGCGAGATGCATATAAACCGAACTATCGGTTGAAGTCAAAGAACATAACGTGGGGACAGCAGATAAAGGAACGAAGCGATCAACAGATAACCATCAACTGACCGGGGCCAGCGGTGCTCAGTGTGGTAACAACCCAGGATCGAGCTGGCCCGGCCGTGATATAGACGCTGCCAAGTGTTTAAAGCACGTGGATGCTATGGGGCGTCCCGACAGATTAATTTGTCAGTTATTCTAGTTTTAATTTTGATGGTTAATACGGAATTTTATGAATAGCATAAATAGATGGAATATTCACTTTTGTCATTTTGGCATTCAGTTGTTGATTTATTACGCAAGTCAATTTTTATGCAATGCAATCAGAATCAATAAGCCGACGTTGGTAAAACTTTTAGGATATATTTAATATGAAGAAAGTACTATATGAGACTCAGCTTTTAATATCTCTGTTCCTTAATAGATATCTGGAATAACATTCTAGTGATTTGAAATTTTATTATGCAACTGAATGGTTTATTATCACATTATATATATATATATATATATATAGGGTCTAGAAGAAACCTCAACAGAATGCAGAAAGCACTGGACAGCCGTTTCGTCGTACATTTGGGACTCATCAGCAGTACGCATCCACTACTGGGAATTGAAACCCGGACAGATACATTCACAGGCAAACGTCATACCAACTGTACTAACAGTATATTTTAGGTTGTAGGAATTTTCTTTAGTGACAATAATATTTTAGTGACTGAAGTTCTACTAATTAACCGATGGCTATTGAGAGTAGAGGTGGATTCATACCTTTTCCGAGTGATACCTTCGCATGTAAGTGAATATAACAAACCCAACTGGGAAATAGAACTCGGCTCTTCTTTTAACAATTCCTAGCCATTATCTGTTACACCACCCGCACATCAGAGCTTACAGCACCTGATATTTCCAGCTATGTACTGACCAAGTACTGCACTGTTTAAATTCGGTAATCATATGGGAATCGCTGTTTCAACGCGATATGGTCGTAAGCGTAAAATTTTGTGTGAGTGTTACAGAATGATCAGGATGATTCAGAATGACAAACTACTGGTTAGAAGACCAGCCCCAATAATGGATTGCCTATTTTAAATTTAACTTTTTTAAATATAAGACCATATAAGCACAGAAACACATTCATGGCTGTAAGAATTTGAAGGATCAACACGCCTACCGTAACTAGACTCCTTAGTGAATAGAGAGAGTCGGCATGTGTCCTCCTGATCATCTCCCTCCACAGCTTCCTCCCCGAAACGATGCTACAACTATTGGCCCTTATATAATTTTTTTGTGATTTCAACGAACACTCGTTGCCACTTTTTTAATTTCAATAGTCCTATTCACTTTCGTAATGCTCGTTGTAGTAGAGACTTTGTAATCGCAGATACAACTATAGTAACGCCGTTGAACAATACTAGTGTCAAACGCCTTCGAATATCACTCGCACTAATAGTACTTGATATTACTCTCTCGAAAAGTACTCATCGAATAGTGATCAGAATAGTACCCTGTATAGGGATCACTTACACTAATTGCCATATATACATTTCCTTTACCATCACGTGATCTATTTACTCAAAATAGGGTTGCCTGTGTTGGTTCTATGGTAATCTGTGTTCAAACCTCAATGTCGGTTGCGACACTTTATTCCTATAAAACAATAAAAAAACGAGATAGGAATTTAAAGTTGTCCCTCGTTGAAGCAGTGTATGATCTAGATTGTTGGGGTCTGAGGCATTAAAGCCAGGGACGACATGAAACACATCATGTGATGAAAAATGGTGCACAAAGATCCCGGAGCAATAAAAAATATACTGAGAACATCAGGAAGATAAAAACTGGGGAAAAAGAGAAAATAGTTTCAAGAACACCCCGTAAAGAGATTTAAGAAGAATTAAGTTTAAGAAGATAGATTGGATATTTGTCAGCAAAAGGGACAGCCTCACATGAAAATTACACATTGGAAATACCAAAATCACGCAAGTACAATAAGTTACATATTTAGCAAGTCTTTTAATAGGGAACCGAAAATGTCATAACAAAATCCGTAGGCGTACTGAGATAGAGAAAAATGCCTTCCAAATGCTAAGCAAACAGCGAAATAACGTTAGAAATAAAAGAATAGTGAGCATACTGAGAATACATCATGAAGAAAGAGGGCTTGGAAAATCTAAAACTCCCAGGACATGTGAAGATAAAGGAACCAGGAAAGTAGTGAGTAACCTAACTAACGATCTTGTGTCAATAGTTGGCAAAATAAGGATTAGGAGTTAGATAAAATGGTAAGGAATTGTGGAGAGTCACGTCTCGAAGGGCCACGGCACATAGAAGAAGAAGAAGAAGAAGAACAACAACAACAACAGCAACAATAACAAGAAACACGAAAAAAGGATTGATCAGCAAGAGCATTTTTGAAGCTTGTTTTGCGAATGTAAGCATGCCGAATATTGACCAACAACAAGCAAGCAACCCAAACTACATCATACGCCCTTCAAGAAAACATTTCAAGGGCAAACGTGTAAGTTGGACGGAGAAGAACATGAAACATGACCTAGGTCCTTCACGGGAAATTCAGCCAATATAGAAAACAACAGTTATGGTGCATCGTTGAAACCAGGTGAGTGGTAAACTATTCATAAGGGTAAGTAGAGCTTCAAAAAGGCTTGATAGAGATCGAGGACCATCGTTTAACGAAGAAAGGTGCAGTTTTCATGGCATAGAACGGTAAAGAATTTTGAAAAAAAGACTTGATTTCGTTTAATGATTATTGGCATAAACTTTCGAGAAGAACTAATTAAGAAAGTTAATTAGTTTCAAGAAGTTGAATGGATTGAGAGTTCTTGAAGAAATCGAACCTGAATATTCGCGATCACCTTAGTAATTGATTATAATTGAACCCGAAAATGAATTCAGCTTCTCCACTCGTAAATTGGGATGAAAGGATGAAAATAATAAAATAATTCATCGATTGAATTAAAAAAAACACATAATGCCTAAATCTGTCTTGAGACCTATGCACGGTTTCTTATGCAGTAATATTCTGCAGATTTGGCTTTTCTGAAATTAGGTCAGTACAGCAAAGACCTTTTTTTTTTTTTTTTGTATACAGACATATTAGCTGGTGGTCTCATTAAAAATATTTTCGGGAAATTGGGTTATCTGAACTTGTTTAAGTGAAGAACTGACCAAATGTTTTTTGAACTGAATTAATGGCCGAATCTTGATAATACGTTATTGTTGGCAGCGAAAAGGTCGATTCCCTTACACAAAAGTGAATGATATTCCTTCACTACAAGGATACTAGTGGATTAAAATATTGATTAAGGTATGTCTGGCTTTCAAAGTTCAATCTTTAAGCTGGTTAGTGCGGAAAAAGCATATATTCTGGTTCGGTAGAAGAAACACACAAGCAATATAATGTAGGATAAACTACAGATAATTTACTTGTATATCCTCAGAATAGAAAGCGGAATTAGACCATTCTATCATCGTGGAAGGAATAAATATTTCAGTTCCAAATTCCGAGAAAGTTGCCGGAAATGGCAGACACTTGAAGAACTTCGGAGCGTACGGCGGTCGAAACGTTACGAGTGTAATAAGCAAGATGAGCACAAAAGTTGGAATTGAATATCGAATATTTATACTTCGTTATTTTTAAACGTTTCGACGATGGCTCTTATGTCATATGAAAAATGTTGCATTATAATTTTGAAAATCAATATGACAGGTGTTTAAACATTTTGGATGGAAGCTTATCTACTTGGGTAAGACATGGACTTCAGTAATCCCGATACTCTTAAAAGTTTTCTGTTAAATATTGACTGAGGTTATTTCAAATGTAAGCAGTAAGAGATATCGCCCAAATATAATTCAACGATGAGGAAACCCTGGAAAGTCTTGAATTGACTGGCATGCAATAGAGAAAATGTAAACTCTGCTAGAAGTGTAATTTGTAGGTGGAGAGGATGTGAGTGATAGAATCTTAGAAACGAATAATACTGGTCAAGTAGACGAGGGGATAATGTGTAGGAGATTCATTTTAAGACTGGATGGAAAAGAGGAACGAAAAGATGAGGAGGTAAAAAAAGAGAAAAAACGAATAAGAGAAAATGAAAGTGATGATGATGATGGTATTGATGACGATGATGATATGTGCAAGATGGAAAAATGCCGCATGAAAATGGAGAAAGAGAAAATGGAAAAAGGTAGATAAAGAAGGTGAGGTATTAATAAAGTAGGAATATCGAGAGCAATAGAAAAAAGGGAAAAAGAAAAACTGGCAAAAAAGGTAAAAGAAAAAAAGATTTCCAAAAAAGGAAAAGAATGAAAGAAATAACTAGAGAAAGATATGACGAAAAAAAAGAAAAAGGGGGCATAAAATGATGAATGAAAAAATAATAACAAAAAGGGAAAGAAAAATTGATGACAGAAAACGAAAAATTAATAGAAACTGAAATAAAGAAAAAATAGGGGAAAAAAAAAGGGAAAGAGAAAATAAGTAAGAATGAAAACGGGAGGAAATCATGTCGAGCAGAAAGACAAAAAGAAAACGGTATAAAAAAGAAAACTGGAAGAAAGAAAAAAAAGGAAGAAAAAATAAAAGGAAATAGAAGAGAAATGTAATCAAGATAAGAAAGAACACTATAAAAGTAAGAAAAGAACTAAAGGCAGAACATAAAAAACCCCCAAAAAACAAACGAAGAATAGAAAAAGAAAGAACGAGAGTTAAAAGAGAGGAAGAAAAAAAAGAAGAACCGTGATGAATAAAAATAAATAGGATAATTAAAGAAAAAGTATTGAAAAAAAGAAATTGAAAGAAATAATTAATATGAATAAAGAAAGAAAAAAGGGAAAACGAAAGAAGAAAAAAGAAACGAAAAAAAAAGAAACGAAAAAAAAAACAGAGAAAAGGAACGAAATTAAGATTTTATGAGACGAAATAAACAGAAAGAAAAGAGTCGAGAAAGGAAGAGGGAAAAAGAAGAGAGTAGAAATAAAAATGGGAAAAGGAAGAGACAATGAAAACAAATAGAACCGGATTATAAACAAGGAAAAAAGAACGCCATAAAAGAAATAAAGAAAGAGTAAAAGAAAAATCGATTACAATTAAAATGAGAAGAAAAAAGAAGGATGCAAGAACGAAAGTAAAAAGCATGGAATGGAACAAATGGAAGAAGAAAATTAAAGAAAGAAAAATAAATAGTTTTAAGGAAAATGACGAATGAAAAAGAAGGAAAAGAAAGAGAAAGAAATAGAAAACAGACATAAACAAAAAAAGAGTAACAGGTCGTAAAATAATAAAACAAAGAGGAAGAAAAAGAAAGAAAAATAAAAAAAAAGTTTTTACGAAAAGAAATCAAAGGAGACAGTATAGAAAGAGACAGTGAAAAGAAAACGGTAGAGATAAAGAAAAAGAACGAACCAGAAGAAGGAATATTAGAAAGAAGAAAAAGAAAAATATCCAAATAAAATAAACAAAAGGAAGTGAAATAGAAGAAAAACAGAAGTAAGAATGAAAATCCGTAGCAAAAGAAAATGTATTTAAAATGTATGTAAAAATCCATAGCAAAAGAAAAAAGAACGGAAAAAGAGAAACACATATTAAGAAGATGGAAATAAGAAAGAAAATAAAATAGTTGTAGGAAGAGAAAAGAAAGAAAAAAAAAAAAAAAAATGATAGAAGGAAAGGAAAAAAAGAAAGTAAAAAAAGAACGAAATGAAAAAAAAAACGGAATAAAAGAATATAGAGCATCAGAAAGGAGGGACGAAAACATAAAGGGCGAAAATGTTGAAGGAATTAGAAAAGGAAAGTAAAAAGACAAAAAGGAATTAAAAAGATGAAAGTAAAAAGGATGAAAAGAGAAAGGAAGCTATGAAAAAGAAAGACCTAAGAAAATTATTAAATTGAAGGAAAAGGAAAGATGAAAGAAAAATAATCAGAATAGAAAAAAAGATAAAGATAAAATAAAAATAAAACGAAAAGAAAATGGAGAAAGAAAGAATAAGAACTAAAGGTAACGGTGAAGAACAGATTGAACGAAGAAGAAAAATAAAAGAAAAAAAAGCAATGAATAAAACATAAATAATGAGAGAGAAAAGTAACCTTAAAGAAAAGAAGAAAGTAAAAAGAAAGAAACAAACAAGAATAGTGAAAATTAAAATAGGAAAAAAGAAATAACGAAATGATAAGGCATATAGTTGCAAAACCTTTTTACATCATTCAAAGACACATTTGTCCAGCAAGGAACGGTTAAACTTTAATCAAATTTCCTCCTGAAAAATCCCAAATGTCACTTCGACATTATCTGAATTCGACATTTGGTTTCTGCAATAAGATTTTTTGTGACAGCGACTTTCAAGAGAAAAACTCGCAGATGTTTACATTAAATTTTCAGAGAAAAATCGGATATTGGATGAAAAAGTTTTAAACTTGATTTGTTTCGATATCATTATTTTTTTTTTTTTATGGATATATCTGTATTTTGTGAATTCTAATTTATTCCTCGACAGCTTTTTTTTTTCTCAATTTTCTCTGATTTCAGAAAAAGCATATCCCGATCTTGCATATATCTCTTAAAGTGAATTTTTGCCCGATCGAAAGGAAACGTGCCTTAACTTAAAAAATTAATAATAGTGAAACCGGATTCGATTACAGAACGAAACTGTTTATATAATTTATACATTTACCTCTATGAGAAAAACAGGAAACCAACACTCGTGTCACATCGCCAGTCATCATAGCTATGGACTTGTTACAGTAAATTCATTATTCAGCAACAAACCATTCAATATGGTATTCTTTTCTGTTACTAAATTCCAATTGTGAATTGTAAAGAGAATGTATTTTCCCAAGTAACTCTCTGGTTTCACTAAAGTATTACGAAAGAGAGTCAGAAAAAAATCTGGAGTGAAATTCTGGTGAACGCGAGGACAATTATTTGAGTTACTTTTAAACATTAAAAAAAGGAGTCAATATGATTATTTAAGTAAGCAAATAATCGTTTTCATTGCATAATTTTACTTACAATTATTGCCACGTGATGCAAACAATAGTTAGAGTATTATTTAAACAAATTAGCTATTAATAATCAACAGTGTCTTTTTATAAGCCATTTTTTGTCCCTTATATCGCTGCCAACTAAAACTCTTACATTTATATCAGTAACGAAATAATGATTCTAAGTAACGCAGTTAATCGAAGGAAGTGCTGCAAATTTGTTGCATTTCTTTTATATAGTGTGTGCGTGTATATATATATATATATATATATATATATATATATATATATATATATTCTGTTTATACATTATTTTATACATACAATTTATTTAAAGTTTAAACAGAAAATATATGAAATAATTTATAATTGCTCGGACTTAATCCATTTCAATACATGTATGATCGTTCGAGAAAAATCATGAGGAATTTGTTGTTTAAAAACAGTAATTTGATTTTGCAAACCAGATACTTCCTCTAGCTAAATAGTAGAGCACGTCAGTTCAAATGACGGTTCCTTGTAGGATACAGGCTCGAATTCTGTCGGAAGACATATTTTCTATATTTCTCGGACACTGAGGCCGGTAAATGTAGTTAATACTGTTTATTATAAACAGTATTTACGTGACGTGTCTCTTAGCAGTGAGGGTTTCGAATTGGTGGAACTAAGGAATGTAGCTCCACTGAATATTTCCGATTGAATAGTAATAAAGTAGCGAGGCTCGCAACGTTCCGTCTAGGGAAGGGGGTTGTAGTGTAGGGAATAATTCATCACCTACAAGGCCGAGTAGACGCATTTGGTTTGTTTTTTTAACGGCATATCAACCTCAATTTGTTATTTAATACCGACAAGATTTTTATTGCTGGTAATTTTTTTTTTTAAATGTATTGCTGATAATAATGTTAATGTATTGCTGGTAATAATTTTTCTTCAAAAATTTATTCCTGGTAATAATTTGTTACAAAGAATTTCTGGTATTAAAACCATTTTTCACATTTTCATAGTGTTTTGACACCAATTTGGGGGTTAACTATTTACCCATAGCTGTGACACTAACAAGTGCTACCACCCCGGGTCAAAGTGGACCTGGGAACACCAGCAATTAAGAGGTGGTTCCACACTCCTCAAACTCCTGATCAGAGGCCTTGCTGCTGGACATAGTTTATCGTCTTCCCCAGGACGCGGATGTAGTTTATCATCATACCCAGGAGGTTAGGCGCATTTGGATTCAATCAAAACTAGAATATGAAGCCTGGGCAGCAGTACACCGTTTTTGGCGTGGGGAAGTATAGAGAGGAAACATTATATATACCGAAAATAACAACAAAGAAAAACACAGGGGAGAAGATTTACATCGGAACAACTGGGAAATATCTAAGGTAAGTTATGCAAATCATTTGCTATCATTCAAATACGAAAGATATTAAAGTGACACCAGATGCACCATCTTATCACAATATATATGGGAAGTCAAAAAGAAGACCGTGTTCGTGTAATGATATATAATAAGAAAAAAGATAAAAGAGCAGCAAAATGAAGATACGTATATAAAAGAAACGAAAAATCGTATAATTAAAAACCGTAAACAAAAGTAATTAAATTATATTGAACTGTTGGCATTTCTTTTTGAAAAACATGAAATGATCGATAGGTTTAACTAACACCTATTTAAAAAAAAGTCCGCAAATAGATAACTAAATAAAAAAAATCAATCTATCTATCTATCTATCTATTTATCTATCTATCTCAGTCTATTTATATCTATCTCAGTGTGTACTTATAAAATGTTTATAATATTTTATAAATACATACAGACAAAGAAGGATAGATTGATAGATGGACAGTTTAAAGATCTGGCATGTGTTTTAACAGAAGATGGAAAATGAGATATTGGAAGTCGATGGGGCATTAGGACAGCGACAGGTTCCTTCCAAAAGCTAAGCAAAGTATTAAGAAAGAGAGAAGTTTTGTAATATCAGCCCTCCTATATGGTATTGAATGCTGGACAATCTCTACACAGAGGAAGAGGAGACATGAATCTGCGTGAAATGTGATTCTACATAAGGATTCTGAGAATACTATGGAACAAACATGTGGGCAACGACGAAGTTTTCGAGAAAATAGAAACATAAAAATCGCTTATTGCTTAATATCAAGAAGACACAGAGTACGCAATGAGGAAAGAGAGCTTGGAAAATTTTATACTCACAGGATAGATTGAAGGCAAGTGAGAGAGAGAGAGAGAGAGAGAGAGAGAGAGAGAGAGAGAGAGAGAGAGAGAGAGAGGAAAACAACAGATAACCTACATAGTGAGAATGGGGAAATGGATGACGCGACAAGTTTTAGGAAATATAACAAAAAGACAAAATTTTTTAAGAGCTACGAAAGAGAGGAAATTGTGGAGAGCCTTGATCGACAAGGTTCTGACACAGCACATAAAAGAAGAAGATAACGCTCTAATTTTTAGGTTAAAATGCTATGGAATTTTAAATTCGCAAGCCTGATCCAATGAGAATTTTAATACATATTTCATCCAATGAGAATTTTAATACATATCTAGGAAAACGATTTAAATATGATAGACAAACATTTCCATAAATAACACGAATAAAACACAATATTTTATGGAACCACCATACAAAGTAGTTACATTTGCAGCAGTAACAAAAATCATAATGAAAACACATAACGACAAATTGGTAAATAACGGTTATACACAAATACTAAAAAAATATAATTACACTATTTACAGTCGGACTATCGTCCTCATCTTTCGGCCGTTGTATCTTCCTCAAGTGTTTATCGATCTGGGTAACCTACAGGGAATTCTGAACTGAACCCTTTATTTAATCTATGAGGGTAGACTGTTCTCGTTCCACTGCTCATGTCTAGGGATATCTCGTCTTGTTCTTATTTTGTATTGTTCAGTTATTGCTCGCCCGTTTCCACTGTGTGCTAGTACACACTGCCCGACCGAGGGATTGAACTCACCGTCACAATGTCACAAGTTCAAAAGCCAATTCTTTTAACCACAATGCCGGAGAGGAAAAAACAGCTGAAACATTATGATAACAACAACAAAGATGAGGACAATTGTTTGGATGTAAATAGTGCAAATAATGACAACTCCCCATCCTAGAAATTCAGACAGAAATCAAAGTAATTGTTGGATCAAAAACAAATGTCCAACGCAAAGAAATTGCAGTGAGGAAAATATAACAGGCGAAAGTGACCAGATGTACATCGGAGTTTTGTGACCAAATAATTGGTTAAGAAATAACAAAACCACAGGTTGCAGATAAATAGTGTATTGAACCGTAAATACAACAGAAGAAGATTACACGACTTGGGAGTGTGTGTCGGTTGATCAGCGTCCCGTCTTTATCACTGTTCCTTCGAGGCTTACTTTTCCTACTAACTTTATATTAAGTGGAAGAGTCCGCAATAACCTCATTAGAGGGAGCACACCACGACACGGTGAAAGTGAGAGATGATTTAAAGGAAATGCAAATTATTTGCTATCATTGAAATACGTGTTTCATATTTGTTTCTTATCCTATCATTTTGCAGGATTCCGATACATAATTGCTCTATATTTGATCTCAATGCTCTCTCTCCCTCTCTCACTCTCTCACTCACACACACACACACACATACACACACACACACACACGCACACATAAACAGGAGAGAGCCTAATCAAGGAGAGGATTTATTTCGAAGCAACTGGAAGAATATTTAAAGAAAGTTATGAAAACGATTTCCTATCATTCAAAT